ATATCTGTACTAAAGGACTTATTAAATGATGTTCTACAGATAGAAGAAAACAATTCTTTATGGAAACTCAGAGACACAAGAAAGAATAAGGAACTATGAAAAGGATATCTATGCATGTAAGCTTAGAGCAACAATTCTCAAAGTTTAGCATAAATTAGAAGTGCCTGAAAGGCTGGCCAGACAATATGGTGAGAGTCACAACACAATTTTCATTCAGCATATCAAAGGTGGGAATTTAAAACATTTCTAACAAGTTATCAGATAATGACAATGTTGTTGGTCTGGGGCTCACACTTTCAGAACCATTAAGAAATACTAGTTTATAAAACAATGATGTCTTGTGGGGTTTAAACTTTATATTGAATTAAATCTAACCATATATGGGCAATTAGTTTGTGACAATGGTAGGTTAGTAGGAAAAAAGATAGCATTTTCAATAAATGGAGCGAAGTCCATTAGATATTCATATAGGGAAAAATAATCCATCTTTTTCTCACATCCTAGGCTAAATTCAGTCTCAGGTGTATTACAGGTCTAAATGTGAAAGGCAAAACCAACCAAACTTCTAGCAGGCAATATCAGAGAATATCTGGGTGACCTTGAGGTATTCTTTAACAGGACCCAGCACTATTAATAGGGGAAAAATTGAACTATGTTAAAAATTTAAGCTTTGTTGATCAAAAGGCACTCTTAAGAGAGTGAAAAGGCAAGTCATAGACTGGAAGAAGATATTTGCAATACATATAACTGACCAAGGGCTCACATTCAAAATATAAGAACTCCTACAAGTCAATAGCAAAAGAATAAATAACCTACTCTAAAGATGTCAATTCCTGAAATAACACTTCACACAAAAGATTATGCAAATAGCCAAAAAAAAAAAAGAAAGAAAACTTGCCCAACCTCTTTAGCAATCATGGAAATGCATACCTAAACCACCATGCAATACACTTGCTCAAAATCAGAAGGAATAAAGTTAAAATGATGGACAATAATAAAATATGTAAGAATGTGGCACAGTAAGAAATCTTATACACTTCTTGGGGGAGGGTGAAATGGCACACTCTTGTGCACAGTAAGAAATCTTATACACTTCTTGGGGGAGGGTGAAATGGCACACTCATTTAGGAAATAGTTTGACATCATTCACTAAATTTGAAGATGCACATCCCATATGACCCAGCAAGTTCATTCCTAAGTAGTCACGTGCCCTAAGAAACATATATCAGAATGTTCATACACCAAGATTCATAATAGCCCCAAATAGAAAACAACTCAAATTTCCATCAGCAGTAGAATGGATAAGGATATTGTTTATCAAATGCAATTCTATCCACCATAATTGAACATGGATGAGCTAACTACATGTAACAACATGGGAAAAAAGTCTTTCCTACAAAACATCATATTGATGAAAGTGGCTGATCACAAAATTATAACAAATGATTATGCTCATTTAAGTTAAAATAATAGGAAAACCTAAATTACAGTGAAGAGTTACTTTTATCAAATTTTAAAGAAAAATAAGGAAATGATTACTCTCAAAATAAAGATTGTGTGGCTTCCTTTGTTGGGGAAGTGAGGCAAGTAGTTAGGAGTGGTGGGGAGTGGGGGTCTTGTACTGCAATGTTCTATTCCTTAACTTGGGTGGATGTTTACAAAGGCGTTTGCTTTGTAATATCATTAAACTGTACATCTTGTTTTGTTACCCTTTCTGTGCATATATTTTATTTAACAGTAAATGGGATTAATGTTTTAAAGCATAACTTACTCTAACCATTCTAAATACAGCAGCAAATCAAATCAAGCAGCAAATCAAAAGTCCTAGATTTAATTATTTTACCAATAATGCCTTAATTCATCCTTTTGTTTAGTTAGTTGATTCCCATATTCTAATCTTACATTACTTTGCATTAATTTGGCAAAGTAAATTAATATTGAATGAGAATCAAATGCTCTGGTGTCATCTGATTAACACTTTATTAATTCTTTGATGGCTTTGACTGTTTATTATGATCTCAGAACTGATTTCAAATGTAATAGCACAGTCATTGGAGTAAGGACTAAATAGTTTGTAAATATAATGAAAATATTCTTACATATACCTATTGTATTTACTCCAACAAATTTAGTGCATGGTAGAGGCTATTCATATCATATATTGATATATTAAAATGAACCTTATTTGAAGCAATTCTATTATTGATAAATAATAAAAGTGAAATCACTAAATATATGTCACACCACATCAAGGACCAAAATAAATTTCATTTTATTTTATAAATTCCTTTCTAAAAATATGGTCTAATACTTGCATCTCAGAGAACAAAAATAAGTAAACTTGACCTTTGAACAATGCAGAGCTTAGAAGCGTCAACCCCTACAAAGTTGAAAATTCATGTATAAATTTGACTCTCCCAAAACTTAACTATTAGCCTACTGTTGACTAACATAGCTGAAGGTTTACCAGGTATGTTAATGGTTCACTGACAGGTATTTTGTATGTTATATGCATTCTATACTGTATTTTTATAATAAAGTTAGACAAAAGAAAAGGTTTTACTCAAACTGTCACAAATATCCAAGACATTTTCCAGTATATTTATTGAAAAAAAAATCTATGTATAAGTGGACCCACGCTCTTCAAGACTGTGTTATTCAAAGATCTACTGTAACTGGTTTTCAAGTACTTTGAAGAATTTGAGATTTAATCCTACTTGCAACCTAAGAAGTTAGCTGGCCGGAGTTTTATGTATGCTGGTAGAAATTGCAAAACCCCTGAGTTAGAGATGAAGGACTTTATTGCTTAGGCACAGCAAACAGTCTGAACACCAGATTATTCTGCATTGGTTTCCTGAGCCCTAATTCCCATAAGCCTAGGAGAAGAGGGTCAGGTGATATTTGCACACAGTGTGTGGCACTACAAGGGAGCAGCTTTGAGTTCAGGGAACACAAATAAGCCTCGCTGCTCTTTGCTCAGGAGTGAGACACTACTTCTATTTCCCAATGCTCTAAGCAAACCTACCTTTTGTTCAGACAGACATACTATCTCTAGCTTGCAATGCTCTTCCAAAGCTGCACACTATAAACACAGCCTTGAAAAGACAGTATAGAAAAAAGGGCCGTTAGTGCTTTGCTCATGAGAAATGCAGAAACATGAGATCCATGAACTGTCAATATTGGTACTTTGTACAGTTGATATGACACAAATGTTCTTCAGCTTCTAGAATATTGGCCAACAATGAATTTTTCAAAATTTTTTGAAATGTGAACTAAATTATGTAACAGTTCATCTTGCATTTAGAATACTTTGAGTCATAATTATATATATATATATATATGTGATAGACACACACATCTATATAGTCTATTTTCTGCCTTCTCCAATAAAAATGTGAATTCCTTGGGAATAATAACTATATATGTGAATGTATATATAATGTATATAAATATATATGTAATTTATTCTCTTATTCTGGTTCTTACATTATTTTGCATTAGTATAATTAATAAAGTGCTACTGCCATCCCTCTTATTTCTCTCGTTTTCTCAACAACATAGCTATGAGAACAACGAAACCGGTGGGCCTGTAATGTCAGGGCTCTAACAGTTATCAAGGATGATGATCTTATCTTCAAGGCCACCTGTCCATAGAATCCAAGGCAGTATTCCACACACAGTGGAGCTCAGTAAATATTTGTTTCATTGAATTGACTTGAACTCAGGACTCCATTCTCCAGTTTGTAAGCCAAAAGTTGTTCTTAGCTCCATGCTCAGTAATACATGCTGCACATTGAACATGGAAAACATTACTTTTCCTCAAGCCGGTAGACAGTCATCTGAGGCTCAAACATTCCTGTTCATGTATGACTCTAGTATGCAGATGTATAAATTTGAGGGAAACGACCATATGTCTCTCCAGAAATACATGCTTTATTGTGAGATGAGAAATGAGTCAAGGAGTGCCTAGTTTTCCTTCCTCTGAGAACCTTTCTTTTGTTTTTATTTATTTATTTATTATTTAATTTGCTCCGGTACTAATTGCCATCTTCTTCAGGGGGAATTTAGCAGCCAGAGTTTATTCTTGAAATACTATTCATGTAAGGTCCTCCAGAGGCTTAATCATCAACACGATGCTTTGGAACCACTCTGGTTTCTTGTAAATTAAATATTTCTGTCCACAAGAAATATTGAAAGTACTGAATGTTTCCGTCCTCTTTGCACGTCAAAATGACTCCTACAGAAACTGGAAAATGTGTGTCGATGTGCATTACCATTTACAACAGCTTCTCGCGGCCGCTCCGGGGTCTTGCACACAAAGGGTGAGAGAGGGGCGTGGGGAGGGAGGCTGCCCGGAGTCGCTGCCCCGCCCGGCTCGGCGAAGCCCGCCAGAGCAGCCGGCGGGGGAGCGGCGACAGCGAGCAGCCTAAACTTGGGGCTCGGGATATTTGAACGCCTGGGCAATTGCCGTCCTAGCTAAACGAGTCCAGGAGAGGAGCGGAGTGCGTGCGCGAGCTGAGGGAGTGCTTACGTCGCAGCGAGATCTGTGCTGGGGTAAGTAGAGAGGAGTTGGGCTGAGCCGAGTCCTCTTTGGGCAGCGGCAGCCGGAGCCGGAGCCGGAGCCGCAGCCGCAGCCGCAGCCGCAGCCGCCGCAGCCCGGGGGACGCCCGACTCCCGTCGCCCCGGCGCGCCCAGAGAGGCCCGCGCCCCGCAGCAGCCGCCCCGCTGCGCCCACGGCCCGGGGGCTCCGGGCGCACAAAGGCGGCGGCCGCCCGCGTGGCCTTCTCCACCCAGGCGTTCGAATCCCGTTCCCTCCTTCTCTCCCCAAGGCGAGAAAGGCAGGGCCGGGGGAGGACCTGGGACAGCGGTGGCGCTTGCGCTGCATCCCCATCACTCCCGCTGGAAGAGGCAGCGGGCTGCTGGCGGACGATGTGGCCACGGCTGCTCCCCGGAGCATCTTCCGCCCGGGTCGCCGCTGCCGCCCCCCTGCTCCGCCCGCTCTATCTCACCGGGAGGAGTTGATGCCGCCGTAGCCGCCGCCGCCGCCGAAGCCGGGGCTGATGGATGCCAGGGAGTGCCGCATTGCTTAGCGTCCCCGCCTCCGGGTTTGCTGGTAGGAGCCGGCTGCTCTTTCTTCTCTCTTGCTCTGGGGTTTTAAAGAACAGGTAGACACATTTTAATTTGATTCTCCACTCTTCTCCACCCTCAGCCCCCACCCGGCGTCTGAAATGTAGTCTCCTGGAGAGACTTCCCCCTCCCCCGCTGCGAGTCGGTAGAAATAAAGGGTAGGGGAAGGCAGAAGTTGGGGGTGGGGGTGAGGGAGCCCACACTGGTGCCAACGCCACCAAAAACCCTTCTGGTGCCTTATGAGATCACGGTTTACTTAGGAGGGGAAGGGGAAAGGTACGCTCTCTGCAGTCTCCAACTAACTGGATCATAATAATTTTAAATAAAAGCCCACAAAGTCTTTTAAAAATAGCATCTTTGAATAAGCAGAAGGAGAAATCAGCTCCTTTCCCCTTTCTTTCTTTTTCTCTCTTTTCCTCTCTGGCAAAGACGCTCTCTCCCCGCCCTGGAGCTCAGCGCTGAAGAGCCACCTTATTATTAATCAGAATTCCCACCGTTATCCCTGGCAGGCGCATCCTTCAGTAGAGACCGCAGAAGCATCACAGAGCTGGGGCTGAGATGCGCGTGGGGGTTGTTTTTGTTACATCTTGGAAGAGGAGAGGACAGTACCAAGAGTAGCACCAGCCGCGCTGGCTGCTATTAGGGGTGTTTTGTTCGGAGAAAGGACAGGAAGAGGGGTGGCGGGCCACCAGAGGTCCACATCTCTTTAAACGAAAGGGAAGAGGGAAACAAAGTGGGGTGTTGTTTTTAGTGGATGGGGAAAGAAGTTTATATCCCCCACAGAAAAGCTGCGGGAAAGGAGGAGCAACAGGGGACTGACTGAACACCAGAGACAATTTCCTGTGAAGAAGAGGAAGCAGGCAGCATCGAGGTGTGGAGGCTGGAGTGCGGTGGTGGTGGCAAGGGCCAGGTGTGTTGTGGGACAGTCAGCAAGGGGAAGGGAAGGCTCAGGAACCAGCGGAACAATGACTCATTTACAAGCTGGTCTCTCTCCTGAGACCCTAGAGAAAGCTCGCCTGGAGCTCAACGAGAACCCAGATACACTGCATCAGGACATCCAGGAGGTGAGGGATATGGTCATCACTAGGCCGGACATTGGCTTCCTGCGCACGGATGATGCCTTCATTTTACGCTTCTTGCGGGCGAGGAAGTTTCACCACTTTGAGGCCTTCCGCCTCCTGGCCCAGTACTTTGAGTACCGGCAGCAGAACCTGGATATGTTCAAAAGCTTCAAGGCCACTGACCCCGGCATCAAGCAGGCGCTGAAGGATGGCTTCCCTGGGGGCCTGGCCAATCTGGACCATTACGGCAGGAAGATTCTAGTCCTTTTTGCTGCCAACTGGGATCAGAGCAGGTAAATCCTAAATCCAAATATGTATTAAGGATTGTTTTACTCTCCCATTTTCCAGAATTTACCCTCAGTAGTCTCATAGTTTTACAGCTTTGATATTTTTGTTTATTTGGCTGCAGAAAAGAGAAACTGGAACTAAAAAAAATGAGTTTTTGGTGGGAACCGGGAATGGGAGGAAGGCTTTTATTTTTACCTTTGACACTCTTACTTCACTAGCAGCCAGTTTCTACTGCCTCTTTCAGTGTTCCTGAACCATATTATTGTGCTATCATTTAAATCATTCAACTGCTACATAAAGCTGCTGTATTTTCACCTCTTAAATAAGTTTCTCCACACTGTCCTGTGGAGAAATGACTATAAGAATGCAGACAACTCTTCCTCTTTCCTCCCAAAGAAATTATTAAACTAGATTCTCCTTCATTTTCATCATCACCGTCAGCAGCAGCATCTCTTTCCTTAGTACTGGGGTTCTGTTTTTTAAGAATAGCCTGGTGTTCAACCAAGATCAAGTAGTTTCATTGCTTGGGAACTTCTCTGCTTGGTGATGTGTAGATGAAGGAGTAATATGATGTGTGTCACTTCAGTGAGAGGGAAGAGTTGTACCCTCTGTCGCTGAGCATGCCTACCAACCCTGAAAATAAAGGCTGACTGGAGTGCTGGTTCTGCACCTGTCACTAATCTAAAGAACGTGTTTCCTGTCTGATGTGATTTTTCATCTCTTGGAAGGAAGTGGAAAATGTTCAGATAAGACAGTTGGTAGGCCTTTTGAGCTCTCTTGCTTTTTAACAAAGGGGATATAATAGTCATTCATCTACATTATGATAGAAAAATGGAGTGACTTCTATTTCCTCAATCAGAATTATTTTAATTAGGCTAAGAAATTAAAAGCTCTTGTGTAAGGTAGTCTCAAGTAAGTTCAAAGTTAAATGTATTTCATGGAACTTAAAAATGTTACCAAAACTATGAATCATTAGAAGCTAGTTGTTAAAACATTGGTGTATTTTTAGTTCTGTGAATGGTGATTTTGATGTATCTGGTTAGTTTAAAGCATACCTGGAACAACTGTAAAAGACTTACAGCTACTGAGAAATCTTATAGCTTTGAGAGATCTCTAGATAGGCATCTCAGAGTCTTGGGGTCTTAGCATGTAAATTAATACTCCTAACAGGTTTTTACCCTTTAATTGGTCAACTTTTCCCTGTAATTCTAACTGGGAAACTATTCTGATTATTTTTTAGATAAGTACAAATAAAACTGCTACCTGAAGAATCAGAAAGCTAAGAAACTCGTAGGGAGAGTTAGCCATTAAGTGGGAATGGAGTTCCATGACTTACTTTGATTGGTTATAGAGATCTTACATTTCTTTTATCAGGTAGGAAAGTTTAAAGAACCATGAAATGTCATCCTTTAACTACAGTTTCTCTTTAGAAAGGTTTCTGTTTTTTTCATCTGAGAAGTACACTGAGGGGTCATGCAAATTAATTATTGTATATTCCAAAATTTTAAAAAAATTATTCAAGATAGAACCTAAATGATATTCCATATGTCAGGTAGATTGGAACTTTGTTTATTGAGCTACAGTGAAATGGAAACTGTGGAAATTTTATTTTTAAATAAGTCTGAGAGTCTGTTGAAGATATCATTAGGGAAGGGAGGCAGTTTGCATTCAGATAGACATGCATATACATTCGACCTATTTTCATTTACTTCTCTAAGTGAACTAATAGTCACACTGATTTATAAACCTAATTAAGATGAAAGAGTTGTCATGTATATGGGAAGTTGATTATTCTGAATTTACAAAGGACCTATGTTTTAGCTGTCTATCTCTTTCATATAGAGGATAGGTTATTGTTAATCAAAAACCTATCTCTCTGGAAATCTACAATAGGATGGGATTTATTTATTAATTGGTATATGGAACTGTTTTTGATAAATCTACACCACAACATATTAAAATTTTGTACATGTGAAATTAAAAATGAGAAGCTATGTCTGTAAAAATACTCTAATTATTTTAGACTAATAATTGTAAATTCTATTTCTAAGTTAGAAGTAGAAAGATGTAATCAAGAAGTTTTAGTACATCAAGGTTGAAATGTATACAAGTTATTTAGAGTTCATCCAAAATTCAGTGGAGTTTCCTCCTGTATTTAAAAAAAAGTCATTCCCTCCTGTTCCCTGCCTTCCTTCCATCCCTATATATATATATATATATATCAGGGCTATCCTCTTGGCATCCTCTGTAAACCTTTATCATTGAGATATAGGTGTAAAAACTGCTCCAAAACCTGAAGGACAGTAGTTTTTGACAGTATCTTTCTGACACTACTATGGTTTCACCAACCCTTCTTCTGCCTTTGGCCTGACTCTCCGTACTTCCTAAAATCTTACCTGACTTGACACCTGCAGAAGTCTCTGCCACCTTCCTTATATGCTTACCTTACTATTGCTCTCTTACATGGATATACCATGTGCCACATTGTCTTTTTCCTCATCCCTCCCATTCTGTGAGTCTGATGTTCTCACCTCCCTGCTCTGGTCCTATCGGTCCAAACAACTGGGGCTCTTGAGGGGTCTGCACATCTGAACATAGCTCAAACTGCCTTCCTTGTGTTGTCCAGTGAATTACCTGGCTTTCAACAACTTCTTAAAAGTAGCATTGTTTTAAATAAATAAAATAGCATTGTTTTACAGAAACAATAAGTGGGAATGTCCAGGATTTTATAGAGAAATTCCAGATATTTTCCTATAAAAAGAAAATGCCCCCCTTCAATTGGAAAACAGGTTACTTCGAATTTCCCAAACCAAGCTTTTCAAATGAATTTTAAAATCTTTGTAAAGATCTCTGAAATAACTGATGTGCTCAACAAAATACATTGAACCTTATGTTATTATAATAGCACCTGAACTAGAGTTAATGCTCAATAAGTATTTGTTGAGTTGATTTGAGTTACTCATTTAAAAAAATTATAAATAGGGTGTTATCTGATAAATACTTTCTCCTCTATTAAATTTGTAGGAGACTTTTCTATGCTTCTCAGGAGATTGGAAATAGCAAATGTGTATGAGATGGTGACTATAAATAAAATAGTGTCTCTTTCTACTGTAATGTAGTGCAGGTCACTTTCAGGTTATTGCAAAGCATTGGACCATTTCCAAAGCTTTTACAAGAGATGTGAAATCTTCAGGAAGATGAAAATAAAATAATATTTACAGTGTATCCACCTTCTAATAAATCTAAAAAAACTGAAGTACTGAAATGTCAGGATGATTTTCAGTGTGGTCTGTTTTCTTTGTAAAAGTAATAGAACAGGCTCAGATGATTTATTACATTTATTGAGCAAGCTACACCGTGGAAAAGATTCATACAATTTTATCTCTTTTCTTTCAGATTGTCTAATATAATTTCTGAAAATAAGAGTAAGTTCTGCAAAATTAAAAACAACTGGATTGCTACAGCACATCCCTAAGATGCAGTAACCTTCCCTGCATTATATGCTGTAATTCTTTTCTGTGTGATAATGGCCTGCTTAGGACTCAGCAGATACCTTCACACTGTCCACCTGATTTTAACAACAAAATGCGAGGATAATGTACCATGAAGCTAAAAGAGATAACACTACCCTATATCAAGGAAGTTTGGGATGAAAGTAGATCTACATTGTGGTTTAGACTCTAGGGCATAAGAGCAGGTGTCTGAGAAATCAACTGGCACATAATTCTTGGAATATTCATCAGTAAATCTGAAACATAATGATGACATGCATTCTAATAGTTGGTCTGTAAGTTGTCAGTTAGCCTGCAAGTGGTATTTTATGTCATTTGACATAGCACTCTATGTGTTTTTATAGCAAATAACTATTCATCTGGAATCTGGTTAGTAACCATTAGAAAACATTAAGTACAACTAAGCTAAACTTATTCATAATGCAGTGGCAATTCAGAAAACACTGAGTATCTTTTACCATGTTTGGTTTGTTATAATGGACATTGATTATCATTTACAGGATTGAATCTCTGGAAGGGGTGGAAGACTGGTCAGACATTGCAGTGATCTTCTCATTTATCCTGAAATTTGCCTAGAAAAAAGTACTGTTGTCAGTTTATTTGTTCCTATTGTGTTGCTTTTTTATAAAAAGGAGAATACTGTACAAATGGTCAGCTATTTGCACTTCAGATTGAATTATGATTATGCTCTCATTTATTAAAATAGTGTGGCCAAGCACCAAATTGGAAGAAGGTTATGATGGTGAGAGATTAAATTTTTAAAAACAGCCATAGTCTAAACAGATTTGCTTTGATCCCAGCCAGGAAGTTTTCTTCTTCTCTGGAAATATACTAAAATAAAATAAAACAAAACAAAATAAAAATGACTGGGAATAGTCACAGGCAATAAATTAGATAATTAGGGAGAAAAACTCATGCTCAGTAATCTTAAAAGAAAAAAAAAAGATGCTTAATGTTTTGGCCTAATTTTTCAAGACTTCTTGTCTCAGTTTATTAAAGCATTTAAACATTTCTTGACTTTTTGCTTCACAGTGTTTTATATGGTCACAGGCTCAGAGTTTCATACCTTTGAAATTCTAGAGGCATTGTTGTGCTGTGTTATGGGTGGATTTTGCGGTTAAGTCAAAACTAAAAATGACCAGTGTGGATTCCATGGGACTTTCATCCCAGCAAGACTTCTTTCTATAGTGCTTTCTTGTAGGGAGGCTCTTTTAACATGAGCCGAGTTTGTAAATTAATAAATTATCCTTGGAAAATTAAAACATTTCTTCTGCGTTGGGGTAAAGACTGAGTGAGCTCTTTTACATCACTTTCAGGATTCTGGAAACAGCAGCTTATTCCAAACTATGCCATTGGCTTATACCATGGAAAATGGGAGAGAAAAAAAGTTGTCCTGAGAAATGTTAGCTGAATATTAGAACAAATCACTAAAAAAATAGGACAGTCTCTAAAAATCAGGGCAATTTTGCAGAATTTAGTGAAATAATTCTGAA